TTTACTTTAAAAAATATTGTAAATCAAATAGTGTATAATGTGGTATATTTTCAAACCACAAATAGTGTAATATGAAAAAGACAGTATAATACAGCCACTGAAGGTACTAGAGGTCATATTTTGAAGGTTAGAAATCGGTATCTGTGTCTTCTAGGCAAAATTCCCTTCTAAGGAATACATACGTGATCAGGAATCAAGCAAATTGTATCAACTGTTTCCCTTAGTAAATTGTGGGGAGATGCACATTACTGAATTTGTTCATAATTAACAACAAAAAAGGAGCAGTAACAAGATGATTGTCTGTAAAAGAAACACCATTCTGAACCTCAGTCTCTCTGCAAAATCTTCTAAGATATTCTAAAGGTTGTGCTGTTTTATATGTTAAATTTTATGTTAAGTGGGTATGCAATCAAAAAGTATTGGAAACTGTCAATTCAAGCATCTCCAGGCTCATTTCCTATATATGCACTTAAAGAAAGAGAAAAAAGAAGAAAAATAAAGTAATTAATGGAGAAGGTCTCCCCATTTGCTGTTTGGACCGGTCAAAGATTATAAGTTTGTGGTCATGTTAATAATAAAGCACACAAAAATATATCTTGAATGCTAGTAAGAGACTGGTTCAGTAGAACAAGTTTATCACATTTTTTACTCATAACATCTTGGAGATGGCGAGCTCTCAAATTCAATTTTGTCTTGTAGATCTGTACAAGAAAATCTCTGCTCTCCTTTGTTGATTCTGTACAATTTCATACCTGTATCACCGTTTTCATATTTGTGAAATGATGCAGAAATAGTCTTTACAACATAGTTTTTAAACACATGCAAAAGTATCATTTCAAATCCTTTCACAGAAATTTACCTACAGGAGATATAAACTGCATAGTCATATCATGTAAAGTAGCTAATCTGAAAGTAAAATCTAATACTAATCTGAAAGTAAAAAAGTATTTTCTTTTGGGCCCTGCCAGTACTCTTTTGCTTAGCAAATACATAGCTGATAGACAGAAACAAGCACTTTTCACAATAAGTGAAAACAGATGCATTACTTAGGAAAGGAATGCAGCTCTTGATTCAGAGTCAGAATCATCTCTTGCGTCCTCCAAAATCCAACACTGCACAATATATGTGTCCTTGTCCATTGTGTGCAGATGTTTTTGGATAACGGCATGTCAGAATTTCTATTCGTATTTGAGAAATGAAGTATGACAATAATTATAAGCTTTCATTGGTAATTACTCATCAAAAATTATAAGCATTCATTCCCATACATCTTAAAGCATCTGATTTTGTTGTGCTTAGGGAAGAAACACATTTCAAAGCAACAAAGAGTTTTTAGCTTCCAGGATATCATGACAAGAAAAAACAAATTTCAGTTCAGAGTATCCAAAGATACTGCATCTCTATCAGCAAAGTGTCCTCCTCCCAGTCTGCTGGGAAGTTCTAGTCTTAGGTTTAAATGCTGACTTCTGGCACAGACTTTTATTTTCTAGTCTTTTGATCTGCTGATAAACTACAATTAAATTACCTACATTCCATATGCTATAATCAATTTGATCAGGCATCGTTTTCAGCTGTTTATAACAGGAAAGTCAAAGAAAATATGACCCGTTTCTTTTACACTATTACTTGGACAGATTCGTATCTCCTGAGTCATAGGATCTAGTTTATGCATTAAGAAGTAAATTCAAGTCAGCATTTAGTTATTTCAATGTCTTAATACCTGAAAAAATATAGTTCCTTGAGTAGACATGCAGTGATACAAATGGTAAAGCTGCCATTAATTGAGATGTTTAATTGTGGAAGTTAACAGGGAACTGCCTGTTTTCTAGGAATATCTGAAAACCTTATGTTGTTTTTATATTAAAAAAAAAAAATCCAAAGTATAATAGCCAACATACATGTCTACATTTAAAATTTCCAGTCTTGTATCTCAACTGTATACCAACCTGCTATCCTCTCAAATTTCAAATCTTCTTATTCAGAGGCATGTTGTCCCTGCCCATATGTGCATTAGAAAAAAATGTTACACTTCAATATACAAATTGATCCCAAGGT